CTCCCCAGCCATCCCAAACTGCAGCTGGTACCTTGCCCAGGGGCACAGGAGACCTCTCTCCTGCAGTCATTGGGCTGGGGGAGGTGGGCAGCTGTGCTGCAGGGAAAGAAGAGGGTGTGGGTGAGCGTGTGTGTGAGGATATTGGAGCGGTGCACTGGGGCACACGGATGCTGTAGTTGTCCTGGGGTGGCACTGCACACAGTGACTGGCTCTGCCCCAGGAGGGCCTGTGGCAGATACAATCCCCAGGGGAGACCCGGCTCCCTGCACAGTGACAATCTGAGCCCAAGAAGCAGGTCCTGGTCTGGTACCATGGCCCCCTCCCTGCTGGTGCCGGGGGCAGGCAGTGGAGCACATTCAAGGGGATAAATCACTTCAATTCTTAATAAATCTGTCCAGCTGTCTACTCTCATTCTTCTTTGGTGTGTTCTTTGGCACAGGACCAAGGTGGAAGAGGGAACTCTTGCAATTCCCCATTATCTTCCTGGACTAGGCTGAAGGGCTAGGGAGGCAGGGAGGGGACAAGTCCCAGTGGTGCCTGGTTCTTGTGGAGTTTTGCTGAAGGGAGCGGGATGTGCCTCTTTACCCCCTTTTCCAGATGTAATAGCAGCAGGTAAGACTGCTTCTTGCTTGCCTCCTGGCTCTGCCCTGTCTTTCAGGCAGCAGAGGAGAGAGCATTCCTCCTGTGAAGGCCTCTCTGGGCAGCAGCTGAGCCACAGGGCTGCAGGCCCTCGACCACATCAAGTCCCTTTCTGCTCAGGGCTGGGCACCTTGCTTCCTTTTCCTTTTTTCTCTGCCACTGCAGCATTTGAAGGCTGTAAAATCCTTGTGTGGGAGGGATAGAAAGGAGGGAGCTCCTGTTGTGCCCACAGAAACACAGATCTCCTGGACAGATGGGTACAATGTCCCTAGGACAGAGAGACGGACACCCCAGGCACCTTTCTGTAGAAGGATGCTGTGCCTGCAATAGGGGTGAAGTAACTTGAACAATTCCCTATTTGCCAATATTTGTAGTTCCCTATTTGCAGTGGTGAATGGAGAAAGGGGTGTCATGCTGCTTTTGGTGCTGAATAATGTTGAAATGAGTCTGACTTGTCAGACCCTAACGCTCAACATCCTGAGTAGCGATGTGAAGGTGTGATAGAACTGGTAAAGAACCAAAGAAAGGAAACCAGCAAGTGATACACTATCAGTAGTATCTTGAGCTGCCAGGGCTGACATCCTGCTGATAGTCAGTCACATTATACTGTAAAAGCTTGCTCCCAATTTCTAAGGTCAGGGTCTTCTAAAACCCTCCTTCCCACAGTGTGTGTGGAGATTTCCTTCCTTGCATGGGGATACCCTCTTCTTGAGGCTGAACCAAAGAGATTTGCCCACAATTACTGGTATGGGTAACTTCAGGGTCTACTTTGTATTTGGCCTTGCTAGCTTTAATATAATGAATACTGTTTCAAAATATTGCATCATACTATAGAAATTATTACAGCTTCTAATCTGTAGTAAATAATTCTTAAAGATATTTTTGTCTAATTATCATAATAAATTATTTGTTTTTTATAAATGTATCAGATTTGCAATCCTCAATGCTGTGGTACTGTGTTATACAAAGTTTCTATTACACCTGAATGATCCTTTAGACACAATCCATTGGCAAAATCTAGGGCTAAGTTGGATCCAGCTGTGCCCGAACTCTTCATTGGGTGGGATTCTAGAATGCAAGAGGGTGTTTTTTGACCCTTGTGATTCAGTAGGAGACAATTCACATTGTCTGAAGCTCCCCTCTGCCTGTGGCGCTGTTCCAGACAGACACCCCCACCATCCCATGTCCCGCATCTCCTCCATGTCCCCAGGCAGGAGCAGATGCGTGGGCCAGTGCTGTGCCCACAGCCAGGGCTCCTCTGGGTGCCACGAGGGATTAGAAGTGCCAGCCAGGGGACTCCCCGCTCCCAGCATGAGCAGGGGGTGCTGGCACTGCTCTACCTGAGAGCTGCCACTGCACAGTGGAGCTGAAGGTGGGGTAGCTCTTGGCTGCTGGGCTCCTTGCAGGGGTGGCACCAGGATCTTTGCAGGTGGTGGCTGCTGCTGTGCAGTGGCAGGAGCCCAGGAAGGTCCCAGCTGTGTTCAGGGCCAAAAGGGTCATGTAAGAGCCCAGCTCGTTTCTGCACAGGCCCTGCCCGTGAGCCTGGGGCTTGTGTGGGTGACTCAGTGCTGAGGCACGGACCCACGTTCAGCCTGGCTAAGCAGGAGATGTGTGTCCCATGGCACAGCCCCTCGCCTTGGCAGCTGGGACCAGCACATGGCCATCAGTCAGGAAAGCAGCCCTCAGTCTCTGGGCAGGGCAGCGGAGCTGAGGTGCTGGGTACCCCCTACAGCAGGATAGGTGACCCACAGCAGCCCCAGGGAAGCACAGCCAGAGCTGGCAGCCTCCTCGCTCATGGACACTGCACTGTGGCATGGCCCAGCATGGTATAGGAGAGTGCACCCAGAACCTGCAGCCCCTCAGGCAAGACCTCTGTGTGCTGGGGTGGCAGAGCATGGCACAGAGAAAACACACACCACAGGGATGATGGCACGGCCAGGGCGTGCAGCCCCTCACCCACCCTGCACCCGGGACAGCACAGCACGGCTCGGCACGGCCAGGCTGCCAGGGCTGCTCTCACCTCCCTGGTGCAGCACCAGGGGCCACGAGCAGGGCCAGGGCGAGCAGCAGCAGCAGCCCGGGGTGCCCATGGTGGTGGTGGCCATGTGTGGTGCCCAGGTTCTGCTCCTTTCATGTCAGAGAGGGCTGAGCCTCCTGCCAAGGGACACCCATGAGCCAGAGGACCCCTCTGGACAGTGATGCAGTCTGGGGGACACTGAGTGAGCTGGCAGGGAGCACAGCCAGGGAAGCAAGTGAGAAGAGCTTTAAAGATACCACAGGCCCTGTGTGGGAGCTTTGAGTACGCCACAGGAAGCACGTTGGATCTCTGGGACACCACAGAAAGAGTGGAGGAGTTCTGGGGACACCACAAGAAGGGCTCTCTTTCTGGCCATGACAGGACTTCTTTTGTGCCAAAGTGCATCCTTAGTACTCAACAGCTATGAGCGCTGGCAGATATGAAGCCTGTCCTCTCCTCTATGACCATTCTTCAGCAGATCATTATGCTGCCCCAGTGCTGCCGTTGGTGACAAATGCCATTTTTTGCTCCCAGGGGAGAATTTCTGGGCTGAGGAATAACGTTATATGGCAAGAGCAAGCTCCTATATGTCCCCCCTGCATGGTATCTTCTCATGTCAGAGCCCACAGCAAATGAAGAGGGACAAAGATGCAAAGAAGCTCTCCCTTGGGGTCACTGAGAGAGGCTGGAGTATTGTATCTGTGGGGACCTTCGTGGCAGGAAGGAATGAGGAATCTGACTCCATGTTCCCAGAAGGCTAATTTATTCTTTTATTATACTATATTATATTAAAGAATACTATATTAAACTAGACTAAAGAATACAGAAAGGATATTTACAGAATGCTAAAAAGCTAATAATGAAAACTCGTGACTCTCTCCAGAGTCCCGACACAGCTTGGCACTGATTGGCCAATGAGTCAAAACAACTCACATCTGAAACCCAATGAAACAATAATTTGTTGGTAAACAATCTCCAACCACATTCCAAAGGAGCAAAACAAAAGAGAAGCAAATGAGATTATTATTGTTTTCCTTTTTCTCTGAGCCTTCTCAGCTTTCCAGGAGAAAAATCCTGGGCAAAGGGATTTTTCAGAAAATAGGAATGTGACACTGGAGGGGTACTGTGACACCACAATACTGGAGCATCTCACCTGGGCTGTCCAGCTGCATTTATCTTGGAACAAAGGCATTCTGGGAATTACAGCTGTCTGGGGACCCTCTAATAGCTGATACATTTGGGTACACCCAGATTGCACAATGCCCTGGCCAGAGGTGCCACCCACAGCCCTGGCAGCAATAAAAAGGAGAGGGAGCAGGAGCCTCAGCAGAGACCTGCAAGGAGCACATCCCAGGTACATCAGCTGTCCTCCTGCTGCAGAGATGGTGCAAGCAACTCCCTTGCTGCTGGTGCTCTTCCTGGCCCTGGGGGCTCATGGCCTGGCTGTGAAAAAGGTACTGAGGGTGGGATGCACAGGGTGGGGTGGGCAGGGGGCTGTGGCTGCAGGCTGTGCTGGGCACAAGTGCTGAGTTCTTTCCTCTCCAGTGTGAGCTGACTGGGAAATGGAAGAATGACCTGGGCTCCAACATGACCATTAATGAAATAAATGTTGGAAATGGTGAATTCAACGGCACCTACTTCACGGCTGTGTCAACCTTCCCAGAGCCGATCAAGAAATCACCACTGGTGGGGTCCCAGCACTTCCCAAAACTGAGCCAGCCCACCTTTGGTTTCACCGTCAACTGGAGCTTTTCAAGTACTTAGACTTATCCTTGTTATGTCCCCAGAGCTCCCTTCTGCCCTCCCTGCAGTGTCCTTGCTGATTCCCTGCCTTCCCCTGCACTATCCCCACTGCTCTCCCTCTCCTCTCCCTGGAGCTCCCCCATCCCTGTCCCTGGAGCTCCTGGGTTGCTCTCAGCTCCCAGTCCCAGGGTGCAGGAGAGGCAGCAGGGGCTGAAGCCTTCACTGCCTGCCCATCTCTGTGTGACACCCCAGCCCTCTGAGCCCTCCTGCTGCTTTCCCCATGCCCACTGGCCCCAGAGGCTGGGGACAGCAGGGGTCTACTGTCCCCTGAGCTGGGACAGCCACTGACCTCCACCCCGGCCATGCTCCCCTCCACCTCCTGTCTTGTCCCCACAGAAAACATCACTGTTTTCACGGGCCAGTGCTTCGTGGATAAGCATGGAAAGGAGGTTTTGAAGACTATGTGGCTGCTGAGGTCACATGCGGAGAAACATGGAGATGACTGGAAATCCACCTTGTAAGTCCTCTGTCCCTGCCCTGCGCAGGTCCCCTGTGTACTCCCAAGGGATTGGGGCTGTCACAGATGAGTGCTTTACGTCATTTAGGAGTCACTCTCACAGGTGTTGGCAAAAGGAGCTTTGCTATCTGTTTGCAAAAACAGGACTTAGCAGAGCTCCATGGCAAGGTTCACTTGATTGCTTTGTGCAGGGGGAAAACATAGGAAGGAAAAAATGGGTTAGAATCAGTTTAGATGGATTTACATGGAGGCTGGAGATGGAAAAGGAGAAGTGAGACCCTTCAACTGAATCACAAAGTTCAGGGAGGTACCCACTGCTTTCTAAACTACTGATGGATCCGAGCTGGGGCTGATTCCACTCTTAATCTCAGACCTACTCAATGGTTTGTATCCAAAGGACATGGCAGCAGTTAACCATTGACTAATTTAACATTTATAAGGTGGTTTGGGAAGGTGTACCAAAATTACAGCAGAGACTAAACTGTAGATCCAGGCTGGCAGCAGTCACACTGCACTTGCTATGGGGAGTTCACATCCCTTCAGCCGTGCACTCGGCCGGAGATGGTGGCACAGCCCCTGCCGAGGTCCAGGAGAGCTCCAGGGGCCTCACTTAGGAATGCTGTGGTAAAGTCATGAGATGATTTACCTTAGCCATCAGTCAGTCTTCATCCTGGATGTAGCGTGAGATGGTAATTACAGGAATTTTTCACAGTTCCAGTAATGATAACATTATTCCACTTGGGCTATGATTCAGGCAAGTAATTCCCCAAGGTTTTTGGAGTATTGGTTTCCTTGATAAGGCAACAGAAGGACTTGGTGTGCAAAGTGTCTGTGACAAGCTCAAGGGAAGCTTCACCACCTGAGAGGCATTTCCAAAGCCAAAGGCCTGAGAAGGAATCCTGAATGGCCCGAGGGTGGGGATGAAGGGTGGTGCTCCCAGGCTGTGGTGCTCAGTGCTTGGCAGAGCAGCTGCCAGTGTGCAGGAGGGAGGACAGGGTGCTTGTGCACAGCTTCCCTGGGCGTCCTGACAAGGTGCAAATGGTTTGGAATGACACAGGGCTGGGTGGGCCACTCTCATGTCCCACCCTTACATTTCCTCTGTCTGTGTCCCCTCAGGGTTGGCTACAACACATTCTGGCGCCTGAGAGAGCCCCTGGATTGAGGGTTGGTAGCATTGGAGCTCCCAGAAGAAGAGGCAGCGCTGGGCTGTAGCCCTTCCTCCTGCTTCAGCACCTGCTTCTCCCAATAAAGCTTTTCTGCAAGCACACAGAGTCTCCTCTCTTTCACAGATCAGTGCCCCAGTTCCCTTTCCTCAATACTGGCCTCTCCTGCCACTATCTCTGACGGCCATTGTGTGACCCTTGCTGTGACCCTCCATGGCTTGGGCTCCTCTTTGTCAGCCCACCCACCACATGGTGCTCCTTGGGACCCCAGCTGGTGCAGGCCAGCAGGACCCTGCTCAGCCTGGAGCGACGAAAGCCTGTGGCCCATCTCCCACTGGGAGTCTGCAAACAGCTCCATGTCCCCCCTGCAAGGAGCAGGGCTGGGAAGAGCAGGGGCTCTCCCAGGACAGGCAGAGCCAGCTGTGCACCCCCAGCATGGCAAGAAGGCATCCCCAGTGCTGGGCACAGAGCTGCTGGGGCAGCAACATCCCAGGGCTGCAGTCCTGCGCTCAGCAGAGTGGCTGGAGGGGCTCCATGGCACACATCTCTGCAGCAGCAGCAGCAGCAGCAGCTGTCCCAAGGTGTCCACCTCTCCCCGAGGTGAAGCCCTGAGCAGGCACCAAGGCAGGGCTCTGGGGACACTCACCAATGTCATACTGCAGGCTGATCTGCAGCTTGGGCCACAGCATGATGAGAGCGAAGGAGGCGTAGAAATGGACGTCGTAGGTGTTGTACATCCGGTACTCCTGGCCTGGCAGGACAGGGCAGGTGGTGAGGGAAAGGAGACGGCCACGGGGAGGGGAAAGGGGCAAAGGTCCTCCCTCCACATGGCCCAGGACAGGGGCATCTTTCCTAGCACAGGCAGGGGCTCCCGTTCAAAGAGGCTTTCATTCTCTACACAGAGCACCAGGGATGTGGGCAACACTCCATGCCCTATCCTTCAGGCCTGCAAGGGCTTTTCCTGGGAATAGCACTGCTCCCTGCACACTGGAGTGCGAAAACCATCCCCATGGCAGGTTCAAACCACATGGCTACAGTAATGGGAGGGCTTGAGGTTGGAGAATCCCTCACATCCTTGTGAGTTACCTTCCAAATAAGCAAACCTTCCGTACTCCTGCAGGACAGGGAGGAGGTGGGAGAGCCCTGCCCCTGCCGGCCCCTGCAGGTCCTGGGCACAGCAGTCAGGGGGCACCTCCATCCAGATGGTCCCTCCATCCGTCATGAAGTAGAGCTCATTGAAGAGGGCTGACTTGTACCAGGAAGGCAGCTGGCTGTGGGAAAGAGGGAAGCTCAGCCTCCGAGGCCGACATGGTGATGCTCCTGTGGCAGCCAAGCCCAGAGGGCCTCTGGGAAGGTGCTCTCATCTGCCCTACCTGTTCTCCAGGATGGGATTCTGCCACGCTTCGATCTTCCTCTCCCACTCCTCGTAGTGTGTCAGGGCATGACAAAGGTTAGTTTTGCCACTCTGTCATAAGGGGCACACTGCTACAGCCATCCTGCAGGAGGTCCTGCCACACCTCTCTACCCAATCCCGTGGGATTGAATGCCGTAACATGGGTGACTCCCGTGCCAGCCTGAACAAGGGAAGAGCATCATCAGGTGCTGCTCCTTTGGAGGAGAAGATTAATGCTCTCCCCTCCCCAATACCACCACCAGGACATGACACTCACTTCTCATGTGCTGCCCAGCAACTCTCAATTCGTTGCCCCACCGCTCTCCTGACACCATTCCCAAAGAGGGTGCCCTCAGGGAGCTCATGTCCCCACTCCTGGTGTCAGGCAAGCGCTGAGAAACGGTGCCAGCCCCAAGCCGTTGCGCCCCCGTCCTTTGCCAGCTGCCCGCAGGCAGCTCCCCCGCACGCAGCAGGGCTGCACAACCTCCCCAGCAGCAGCCGCAGCTGCAGGGCCAGCCCTTTACCTTCTCCCGGGCAGAGATGGCCAGGGTGAAGGGGTTCACGGCCGGGCAGTGGTGCAGCAGCACCCCAGCAACCCGCTGGCCGTCCTTCTGCAAGGTGAAGGGCTCGTTCCAGTGCCCGCCGCTCCCGGCCTCCTTCGCTCCCGCGCCGTTCTGCAGGCTGAACATGATGGACACTTCCACGGCCTCATCCCTCCCGTTCTCCACCTCCCAGACGAACACTCCCACCGGCAAGCTGGAGTCCTGGCAGAGACGCAGAGCGCTGCCTCCAGGGCTGCTGCTCCAAGGCAGCTGCCCCAGCATCGCTTCCCCCCCTGCTGGGGACACCGCGCAGCGCGCAGCGACAGCAAGAGCGCTGGCAAGAGCAACCTGGCCTCGCAGTCCCCGGCCAAGCCGAGGAGCAGCAGCAGCAGCAGAGGACTTGGGGAGGCAGGCAAGAGAAAATTCAGAAGAGAAGCAGCCCTGGGCTGGCAAGCAGCACGCCGGGCAGCAGAGGGACGCAAAGCGGCCTTTAGGGCTCAGCCGGGTGTCTCATCACTCACCGGCTCGGCAGGCCGATACAGGCTCACGTGCTGCAACGCCGGGGTAAGAGGAAGGTCAGACGTGTCAGCAGCACAGCTGCCACCCTCGCCTGGGGCTGGCAGCGGCACGGGCAGCGCTGAGCCAGCCCTGGCTGCAATGCCGAGATCCCGCACGGCTGCGGGGCTTCCCCTGCCCGCACCTGCTGAGTGCGGCCCTGGGGAAACGCTGGGAAAGCGGCCGGCAAGCAGCTCTGTCCCGGCAGTGGGGAAATGTTTGGAAAGCGGCCGGCAAGCAGCTCTGTCCCGGCAGTGGGGAAACGCTGGGAAAGCGGCCGGCAAGAAGCTCTGCCCTCGGGGATGCCTCACCGCCTTACCTTATAGTCATGGGGGATGACGGGCGAGACCTGCCGGCAGGTGAGCACCACCTGCTGCCCCGGCAGCTCGTAGACCAGCCAGGCACGGGGGTACAGGGCGTGGTAAAAGGCGTAGCGGCCGCAGTAGCCCCAGTTCCAGCCCTGCAGGCTGCTGGGTCTCTCCAGGGACAAGACCTGCTGGTAAATGGTCTGCCCCTTGCACCGCAGGCACACTGTGAACTGTGGAGGAGAGGAGCCCGTGCAGGGGATGAGAGGAGCCCTGTGGCAGATGTCCCAGCCGCCCAGGCTCTGCAGTGACTCTCACTCCCCTCACAGACCCTACCTGATTGGCGATGACTGTTTCGTAGTGGTAAAGGCCAGGGTTCAGCTGCCAGCGGCAGAACTCTCCCCGCCAGCCGCGTGTGATGGTGCCTCCCCCGATCCCGCCCAGCGGGCATCCTGGCAAAGACACCAATAGTTAGCAACTCCATTCCTCCTCCAGGTGGCACCTGGCTCAAGAACTCTCCCCACGCATCTCTGCAGGGGAGAGTCACTCAGTATCGCCCAAATCACAAAAGCTCCTCGACTCACTCATTCCATCTAGGACCCTGATGGCCCCGTGTGAATCCCTGCCCACCCCAGTGCCCAAAGTGGAGGCTGACCATAGATCTGCTGCAGAGGAACAGCACACAAGAGGTCAATGAAGGCAGTTTTCTTCTCGATGCGCGTCTTCTTGACCCACCACCTGAAATATCTGCAAGGGAAAGAGACATATTGAAGAAGTCAGGAGCAGGCAACACCATCCCTCCAGTGTCACTGGGCAGGATGAGCATAGGTTGAGCTTTCTCTCCTTTTAGAGATGTAAAACAGGAACCCGTGTCTCCATTCCCATTGCACAAGGATGAAAAGGCTCTATCACCCATCTGGAGCATGCATCACTCAGCAAGCACAAGCAGGCAGAGTTCAGGCAGCTCAGGACTGACTGCAAGGGCAAGTCAAGAGCAGGACTCGCAGCTCATGTAGCACAGGCTTTCCCAGACGTTCAAGGAGAAGTGGGAATGCACACAAGCATCACCACCACCTCCATGCCTGGTACAGTGTCCTGCTAAGGAAGGCTGGCAAGCAGAGGTGCAAGCCCAGAGGAGACACACACTGCTCCAGGGACACGAGCCTTGCTCTTCTACCTGCACTTCCCCATTGCCCTACACTACCACATCATCAGGGGCAGAGGGCACAGGGCAGCCTTGCCCTGGAAGTGGTGATGGTTGCAGTCTGCAGCTGGCAGGATCCTGGGGACTTGCCTCCACCCGCACACCAGCTGCACAGACCAGCATGGCCCATCAGATAATTTCTCACCCAAAGGTCTGGGAATCAAGACACCCAAACAGGGGCACACCTGCAGCTGGGTGTGCCAGCACCACTGCAGGCAAGAGGAGCAGGGCTGGGCTCCGAGTCAACGCTTGTAAAGCACTGGCTTTGGCTAATTAACTGCCCCAAGTTAAGCCTTTATACAGAGACAGTTAGCAGATGGACACCAGCTACCAGACCAGAGGCTGCTGAACCTTGCCCAGCAAACAGTCAGGTGAGACCCAGCTGGCAGCTCCATGGCCCTGGGTGCCAGGTGAGCAGGGGGGACACAGGAGCCCCCACACAGTGACACAGTCCCTGAGCAATGTCCCTGAGCTACCTGCATACACCCATGTCATACTGCTGAGCAGAAAACCACCCCAACCAGGAGCACACAACCTGTCCTGCCCCTGGTTGCAGAGGATGCAGAGCACAGGCAATGAGCAATAATCCCCTGGGACATGCACACCCAGGAGCAAGGGCGAGAGGCTCTTCCATGACACCTCTACTACTATGCTTCCCAAAGAGAAACAACCCACAGTTGACTTTTTGGCTGCTCACTGGGCATTCACCTTTATTCACCAACATCTAAAGTTCCCAAATCCCTCTCAAGGTGAGATTTTCTGGGTTGCAATCTCACAGGACCTAAATGCAGCCTGACCTAACTGCAGCGTGCTCTCCACTCCTACAAACCCAACTTTGTATTTGACTGTCTGTGGATGTTTTGCCCACAGAGGTTCAGGGCATGATGAGAACCAGCCTGTCCTGCTTGACTGCCCTGAACCAGGGCCTGCCACTATCATCCAGCTTTATCTGCTGCAACTGCTCTTCTCCAAACAGGACAGTCCCAGCCTTACCCCACCAAGGTGAGGTTTTGGCAGTGCTCTCTCTGTCTCTCTCAAGGAAATTATTATTATTCTTTTTCAACCCAGCATCAGGGAACCAACCCAGCTGCTTCCCCAGCAGGCTTCTGGCAACAGGAAATAAGGTGCCCAGGCAGAGTGGCTGCAGCACAGCCTAGCAGGGCGTCCTGACTTCTTGGAAAGGAGGCAGGAGATGGGTTTCAGGAAGCAGTTTTTACAGGAGAACAGAGTAGAAAAACTTTGGGATTTATTGCCACTTCCAAAGTCATTTTACCATCTCAATATGCAAACTTTTCTTCTGCCAGCTTCTCCCAAAATCAGGCAAGCCAGGAGGAGAAGCTTGGTCGATGCCCAATTGCTGGCTATTAACAGCTCTGCCAGGGCTAAAGAATAACAAGGAGAAAGACTTTGTGTTCTGTAGTACCAAAAGCTCTGCCAGAGCTGGAGGGCATTTCCTCCCCTTCAAACTGACAGTGGAGCTAAAACCTAGCTGAACATTACCCAGCTGATCTGGATGTGTGCCGTGACCCCTCTCAGGACACGAGCCACCTCTGTGGAAACCCACCTGCACCTCTTCTCCTGCCTCGCCAGCCCCAGCTGAACCCTCTGCACAGCTCTTTCCTTCCAGACACATATGTCCCCACAGTTAAACTGACAAGCCCTGATGAACAAAAAAATCCTGCTCCAGGGCTATCAACACTCCCAGCCATGTCACCTGCACCTAGGGCTGGTGCTGCAGAAGAGGGCACCCATCAACATGTTTAATTCAATGCAACAACGTCAGCCCAGGATGTTGTGGCTCCTCTACTGCTCCTGGAAGCCCAAGCAGTAATCCCAAGGTGCTCCTGGTGCCCACAAGCACCTGCACCAGGTGACTTTGCACTTGACGCACCAAGCCATGCCAAGTTTTGAGAACATCCCTGGCACAGGCGCCACTCACCGTGGGTCACTCAGGAAAGGGCAGGCCAATCTGCAGGGCTTCACAGATCCCTGCACCATGACACAGAACTGAACTCCAGGTTTCTCTTGCAGCATCAGCACCCAGGTTTCCCTGAGCTGGCTGCCCCATCCAGGCAGATGCTGAGATGCCCACCAATTCCTGGAGCATGCACAGGCACATACATATATACATCCTCACATATATATCCTATATATGTGATATATGGGATATATATCCTATATATGTGATATATAGGGATGCAAGGATATCCTGTATCCTCACATCCCTGAATGGGCTGCCCTTTCAGCCAACAATGTTGGCATTGGGTTTTTTGTGGTTCAAAACCACACAGGTATTTCTCGTGACCCTAGCACTTTGTCTCCTCTGCTCTTGTGGCTGGAATCGCCTCACAAGGAAGTTCTTGCCATGGCAAAAGTACTTTGAGATAACAACCAAATTACCTCCTAAACTTCAACAGGAGAAAAGGGAGTAGCTTGACTTCAAGCTTCTTGCTTTCAAAGCCCTTGCCTAGGACTGATACAAGGCTCTTCCACACTTCAGTGAGAACAAGGCCAGGATCACCTCTCTTCCCTGCTCACCCCACCAGAACTTCACGTTTTCCCACATGCTCAGCTCATCCCAACCTGCTGCAGCAGCTTTTCCAGCAGCCTTTATTTATCTCCAGTGCATGACCCATGCTCTCCCCGACGCCCAGGCCCGCACTGGGGCGTCTCAGGTGAGACCAGCATGCCATGCACCCCAAAGCAATCCAGAATCTGCCCTTTCATCCAGCTTCGCAGGAACCAGCTTGGCAAGTGGCAGCCTCCAAGGACACCAGCAGAAAATGGAGGCAGGAGTCATAAATCCAGCACAAGGAAATAAGCAATGCCGTCGCAGGTCCCCGCGTTCAGCCTGACAGGTGCACAAACACTGCCAGCACCCGGACTCCAGCGTTAAAGGTTAAAACAACACTCTCGCTTTCCACGCGTGCTCTCCATCGTTACCTCCAGCTCACCCCAACGCAAAGCCGGGAGAGGTGCCCCGCTCCCGAGCCTGCCACAGCACACAGCGCTCCAAACCCTCCCAGCCGGCCCTAGTTTAAGCTCCAGCTGCCAGCACTGCAGACTACGCCGGGCAGGATGCGGCAGCGATGAGCCCTGGGGCGGGAAATGGGGGTCCCCATCCCCAGACGGTGCCCCGAGTCCGCCCAGCTCGCCCGTTCTGAGGAGCCCAAGCGCCGGGCGCTGCCCCTTCAGCACCAATCGCTCCCGGCGCCGGCGCCACGGAGGCTGCAGAGTGCCGGCGCCTCCGGGCGGTAGGAGGGCGGCCCCGCCAGCCCGGGGCCTTCCGCGATCTGCCGGACTGTGCCCCTCCGTACACCGGGACACCTCCGGTGCCTCCCCGGGGCGAGGCCCCCGCGGCACCGAGCGGCTCCAGCGCAACGCTGTGTCCCCCGCGGGACGCCCTCCCTCGTCCCGGTGTGTTCCCGGCCCCCTCCATCCCCGGCCGTACCGCAAGGCGAGGCCGACGTGCCGCAGGACATCGCGGAGCGGCACGTCGCCGGCGCCGTAGGGCTGCCGCAGCTCCTCGAAGCTGTGTGCCAGGCAGACGCGCCAGCCGTCCGCCGCCACGCCGCGGCCCTGCGCTGCCCCCTCGTAGCGCCGCATCAGCGGCCACTCCGCCGCCGCCGCCGCCATCACCGCCCCCCGCCCCGTGCGCGCCCTCTTC